AAAAAAAAAAAAAAAAAAAAAGAAGTTGGGCTGGGCACAGTGGCTCACACCTATAATCTCAGTACTTTGGGAGGCTAAGGCAGGAGGATTGAGCTCGGGAGGCTTGAGCCCAGAAGTTTGAGACTAGCCTGGGCAACATAGTGAGAACCTGTCTCACATGGTGATGCATTCCTTTAATCTCAGCTACTCAGGAGGCTGAGGTGGGATGACAGCTTCAGCTTAGGCGTCTGAGGCAGCAGTGAGCCAAGATCATGCCACTGCACTCCAGCCTGGGTGACAAAGTGACACCTTGTCTCAAAAAAAATAACAATAAGAGATTGGTTAAACTATTAATCAAAACAGAATATTAGGCAGCAAAACTGATGTACCTCCATGTTTCCTGGTACATAAAGTCAGTTAATATACTATTTAGTGAAAACAGAAGGTTATAAAATACCATGTACATAATTATATTCTTAATGTTTTTAAGAGATGAAATATCACTCTGTTGCTCAGGCAGGATTGCAATGACAAGATCGTAGCTCACTGCAGGCTGAGTTCAGGCAATCCTCTCACCTCAGTCGCCTAAATAGCTACGACTGCAGGTGAGCACTACTACACATGGATAACTTTTTAATATTTGTAGAGATGAGGTCTTGCTATGTTGCCCAGGCTGGTCTCAAACTCCTGGCCTCAAGCAATCAACCTGCCTCAACCTCTCAAAGTGCTGAGATGACAGGTGTGAGTGACTACACCCCACTGATATGACTGTTTTATTTAAATTTACATAAGTATGCACATATTTGTACATACAAATAGATCTAGTAAGATATGTCAAAAGGTTATTGGTGGTTATCTCAGGGTAGAGAGATTTGCGGTAGTTATTATATATATTATTTTGTGTTAACTGACCATTTCACAATGAACAGCTTCATTAGTTAAGAAGAAAAAATAAGCCTAGTTTCACTTTTAAAAAAATCCAGAATAGCAAATCTGAAATAGAACTGGACACTGTATTCACTGGGTAGAAAAAGTGTCAAATGCATATATTCTAAGCCAAGTCCTAGTTGGCACTTGATAGTTTAATATGCATTAAAAAGCTCAATTCAATTATATAATAATAACTTACCATAGTCAGGACTTTCTTTTTAGTTTCATCTTTTTGAAATACTGTCTTTTCTTCCTTAATTATGGCTTTGGCTTCACCTTTTTCTACTGTTGGTCTCTGTCCAGCCTTTCTTACATTTGGTCTGGGTCTCTGTAGTCGGCCCCTTATTGGTCGAGCAGTTTGGGTAACACTTTCCTTCATTTCTTGTTGTAAAGTGTTTATATTACGAGTCCTAGAAAAGGTGACAGAAAAAAAGAAACAGAGCTTGACTGTAAAAAGTTGAAAAATACAGTAAAAATATAAAATTTGGATCTTCTCTAATAAATACTCTATAAAAATATTTTTGACCACTAAAGGAAAATAACTTTCTAACTATAAATGCATCTTATTTTTCAAAAGAAAATAGTTATTTCGGCCAGGTGTGGTAGCTCACCACTATAATTCCAGCACTCTGAGAGGTCAAGGCAGGAGGATTACTTGAGCTCAGGAGTTGGAGACTAGCCTGGGCAACATGTGAGATCCTGTCTCCACAAAAAAATTAAGCTGGGATACTGAGTTGGGAGGACTGCCTGAGCCCCGGAAGTTGAGGCTGCAGTGAGCCGTGATCAGACCACTGCATTCCATCCTGGGTAACAGAGTGAGACCCTAACACACACACACAAAAAAGTTATTTCAATTCTCAAAAGGCAATAAATTTACATGATGTATCTGAAAGTAAAATGGTGGTTTCCAGGAACTGAAAGAAGGAGGGAAAAGAAAATTAGTATTGCATGGTTACAGAGTTTCAGTTTAAAAACAAAACAAAACTCTAGAGGTCAGGCTCAGTGACTCTCGCCTGTAATTCCGGCACTTTAGGAGGTGGGAGGACTGTTTGAGCCCAGGGGTTCATGACCAGTCTGGGACCTCATCTCTATAAAATTTAAAAAATAAGCTAGGCATGGTGGTACACACCTATAATCACAGCTACTTGGGAGGCTGAGGCAGAAGGAGCACCTGAGCCCTGGAGATTGAGGCTGTGATGAGCCGTGATCATGTCAGTGCATTCCCACCTGGGCAACAGAGTGAGACCCCCAAATCAAAAAAAACCCAAAAAACACCAACTCTGGAGACGAATGACGGTGGTGAACTGTACAATACTTTGAATACACTTAATGCTACTGGATTGGACACTTAAAAATAGTTCAGGTAAATTTTGTTATATATACTTTACCAGTTTTTTAGAGGGTAATGAATACAAAGCTTATATACATACAGGCTGAGTGTCCTTCATCCAAAATGCTTAGGACCAGACATGTTGTAGACTTCAGATTTCTTTGGATTTTGGAATATCTGCCAGCTGAGCATCCCTAATTCACGCATGTCCCAATGCACATTTCGTTTCAGCCTTACATCAGCACTCAAAAAGTCTCCAATTTTGGAATATTTCAGATCTTGGATTTTTAAATTACAGATGCTCAACCGGTACTTTTTTAATGCATTGCTTTGTATAGGGGTTTATGCAAGTGACAATGAAGAGAAACAGGCAAGTATGAAAAGGTTCTGAATTCAGCCTGACTTTACATTTTAGACAGTTTGCTATATAAGTGAAATTAAGCCATGTACTCTTTATGCCCATTTTAAAAACATATTAACAGGTCGGGCTCGGTGGCTCAGCCTGTAATCCCAGCACTCTGGGAGGCTGAGATGAATGGATTACCTGAGCCCGTGGGTTCAAGACCCACCCAGGCAACTTGGTGAGACGTCGTCTCTACATCTAAATCAAAAATTAGCCAAGCATGGTAGCACACGCCTGTAGTTCCAGCTACTTGGAAGGATTGCCTAAGCCCAGCAGGTCGATGCTGGCGTGGCCGTGAGAGTGCCACTGCACTCCAGCCTGGGCGACAGAGTGAAAATCCAACTCAAAAATAAATAAATAAGCAAAAATATATTAACAGATCTTAATAAAAATGAAAGCATACTTCCAGGGAATGTCTCTCTTATCTTAGATTTTTCAAAGAAATATCACTGTTTACATTACCCCGTAGACACAACTAAGTCATTTTCCTGGACTTGTGAAAGCGGTGACTCCCCTTTAGGTTCACAAGAATCTGAAGGTGAAAGGACCTTTTCAGTCTGTATACATGGTAACAGCGCAGCCTCCTGATTCTTAGAACCTGATTTGTCTTTTTCTCTTGATGTCATTAGAGAAGCATCACCCTAAAAGACAGGAAAAAAAATTTCATTCAAGGTGGATGAAAGTATAGGAAAATAAGAACATTCTTATACTATTAGTAGAGGAAAAACTGGTTTAGTCTTTGTAGAGAATAAGAGGGCAGTTACCTACCAAAATATTAAATTCCCGGCAAATTCCACTTCTAGATATTTCTTATAAAAGTACTCAAACAGATGTATATACACAAAAATATTTATTATAGCAATTTAAGAGCCCCCACCCCAAAAGAAAACAATAAACAAACAAAAAACTGAAAATAAGACAAATCCATCAACAGAGGATATGAATCCAAAATAAGTAGGGGGAATACATCTTAATTTATTTACAATGCAATAGTATACAGTCACTCAAAATATATTTCTGTGTACTGATCCCAAAAAAATGTTCACACTATTGTGTTAAAAGGAAAAATTGAAAGGCAAGGTATGATGCAATTTTTGGAAAACAAAAAGATCTCCAAATTTTATTATTTCATAAATAAGTATACAGAAAAGTCTAGGTAGGTATATTCAAAATTGCTACACAATTAACTTGGGAAGAGGAACATGACATGATAAAGGACTCTCACTTTCTAAGATACAGGTATGTTTTTCCAAATTGGAAAAAAATTTTTTTGAGTCCAGATCTCATTTTATAGCCCAGTCAAGGTCTCACTCTGTCACTCTGTGGCAGTGGCATGAGCACGGCTCACTGCAGTCTCAGTCTCCTGGGCTCAGGCAAGCCTTCCACCTCAGCCTCCTCAGTAGCTAGGACTATAGGCATACGCCACCACACCTGGCTAATTTTTTTGATTTTACATAGAGACGAGGTTGCCCAGTCTGGTCTTGAACTCCTAGACTCAAACAATCCCTCCCCAAAGTGCAGGGATTATGGTGGGAGCCTATCAAATTAAAATTTTTATAATTGGAAAACATAATTAAAAAGCACTTATGAGCAGGGCACGGTGTTTTATGCCTGTAATTCCAGCACTTTGGGAGGCAGCGGCAAAAGGATTGCCTGAGCCCAGGAGTTCAAGACCAGCCTGGGCAACACAGCAAGACCTCGTCTTTACAGCAACACAGCAAGACCTCGTCTCCATGCCCAGCTAATTAATCAAAAAATTAGCTGGGCATGGTGGCATGCACCTGTAGTCCCAACTGCTTGGAAGGCTGAGAAAGAAGGATCTCCTGAGTCCAGGAGATGTCAATACAAATTTTAATTCTAAAAAATAGTTGAAGCCGGGCTCAGTGGCTCAGCCTGTAATCCCGCACCTTTGAGAGGCTGAGGTGAGTGGATTGCCTGAGCCCACGGGTTCGAGACCTGCCTGGGCAGGCGAGACCTCATCTCTACAATAAATCAAAAAATGAGTCGGACGTGGTAGCGCGCACCTGTAGTTCCTGCTACTTGGAAGGCTGAGGCGGAAGGATCACCGGAGCCCAGCAGGTCGAGGCTGCGGTGGCCAGGAGCGGCCACTGCACTCCAGTCTGGGCAACAGAGTGAGACTCCAACTCAAAAAATAAATAAATAAATAAAAAGTAGTTGATATGTAGAAAACACTCAATGTATGAGTATTAACATTTCATTTCAAAGTTTTTGATGGTATATCACAAAATCTTAATCTGTTCTGGACCAAGTTAATGAAGTAAATAAAATATCTTTTTTAACTCATATCAAGCTTTCCATTTCACCTTCACCACAGAAATAAAAGCTTGTTAATCCCATTTTCCCTACGAAGAAACCTGTTATATCATTTAATTATGGACACACAGCCAGAACTTAAGTTAGAGCACAGACCTTCTAAACGCTTTCCCATGACACATTTGCCCATCATGAAATATATGAGACTCATACACAAACTATGTAGAAACATGAGGAAAATTAAGCAAGGGAACAATATAACACACAGTAAAAAAATTACATAAAGAAGTATTTGTAAAAATTTAAATCCAAGTGTTTTACACATTTAGTAGCCATAGTAACTAAAAAAACACCCCCCACAGAACCTCCATCCTAAATGTCACTCACATGCTGAGAAGGGAGAGTGTCAGCTTGCTCACTATTGGGTTGTATCACAATAGGCTCCATTTTATCAGTTTCTGATTTCTTCCCAGATAAGTGTTTTGCTGTGTCTGTAGTCTCTCTCTTTAAAGCTGCTCTTGTTAAATTTGGTTTTGGCCTTTTGAATCGACTTCTCACAAAAGGTGCTGATTTTATTTCAAGTGGCTTCTGTTCTTGAGGAAGAGATTTGCTTTTGGAACAAGGATTATCAAGCTTTAGAATGAACTGAAGGGGCAGTGGGAACAGAGTCTTAGAACAACCTTAAAGATTGGCAGGAAACATTTCATTCTAATTCTTAAAAGAAAGCAAACAGAACTATTAGGGATCCTGAAAAACATGAGCTCTACAATTCAGAAATGTGTCTTGGAATTACACCATCTTTGCACAAAGAAAATTTGAGTCTGTCAAACCTGCAATGATTTAGGAGTACATGACACACACAATATTGTACGTGTTCGTAATTCTCACAATTGACTGTCAGAATAACCTCAACCCTCTCTCCCAGGTTCCCCAAACCTATATTACAATCTCGAACACTACCCTGTATATGGCATGACTTGAAGCTTCACTTAGGGTAACATAATCTGTATTATAACTTGATATGTTTTTCCTTTCACTTGTACCTTATATCTGAAAACTGTTCTGGAACATCTGGAGGTGGCATACCATGGTCTTCTGTTTTACCAAATTCATAAGTCTGTGAAGAAGTCTTGAAATGGTTCAAGTGACGTGATAGTTCTTGTTTAGAATTTCTTTTTTCTTCTACAGATGTATGCATCATCGATTGTACTTCACTGCTAAAGTTCTGAAGGAATAGTCACAGTAAGTTGGCACAAAAGATTCTTTAAACATTTCATACCTCTCAAACAAAAGCATACTATACTCTAAACATTTTCCTTTAAAATTTTAGAAGTGTGTTTTCAATTTTTAAATAAAATTTAACTTACAAATGTTAAAACTTGGAATTCAGAAAATGCTTCCTTTTATACTGCATATTTTCCAAACCACAAATGCTATTACATATCCCAGAAAGGTCAGAAAAAGACATTCTTGAAAATGTTAGAAGATTGTGAGCTTCAAGTCTGAAAACTTTTAACAAAAAGAACTTTTAGAAATGGGGTGGGGCCTAAAAGAAAAAGAAAAACGGATACAGATATGACTGAAAGAAATTCCAATGTCTGCTCATACTATCGTTAATAAAAATTCAGTCCAATTTCCTATACTCCTTTTACCTAGAAAAGTAACTTCAAACTGACATGAAAAATAGTAACCTAGGCCGGCATCAGTGGCTCAGCCCATAATCCCAGCACTTAGAAGGTCAAGGCAAGTGGATTGCCTAAACCCATGCGTTCAAGATCAGCCCAGGCAACTTAGTGAGACCTCGTCTCTACAATAAATAAAAAATTAGTCGGGTGTGGTAGCGTGCACTTGTAATTCCGGCTACTTGGAAGGCTGAGGTGGAAGGCTCACCGGAGCTCAGCGGGTCGACGTTTGGGTGGCCGTGATTGTGTCACTCTGCACTTCAGCCTGGGTGATGGAATGAGACTCCAACTCAAAAAAAAAAAAAAAAAAAAAAAAGGAATAGTAGCATATGGCAGGGGCTAGGCAGAGTGGCCCACGGCTATTATCCCAGCACTTGGGAGGCCAAGGCAAGAGTATCGCTTCAGCCCAGGAGTTGGAGATCAGCCTAGACAACACAGCAAGACCTTGTCTCTACAAAAAATTTAAAAATAAGCTGGGCACGGTGGCATGCACTTGTAGTCCCAGCTACTTGGGCTGAGTTGGAATGACTGCCCGAGTCTAAGAAGTAGAAGGTGCCACACTCCAGCCTGGGTAACAGAGGGAGACCCCAGCTCAAAAAAAGGGGGGAAAAAAAAAACTGTAACTTTTCTACAATTAGAAATGTTTTAGGTCATTTTTTTAAAAAAGAACATTCAGTTTCTTCAAGGCCCTGAAACACAGAATTTAGGGCTGGAAAAGATTTAGAGTTTCTAGAAAGTTTAAGTATTGTTGAACTTAAGGGCAATCAACAATCATGGAATTATTTTGGTAAATTTTCTCTGAAAAAAGTATCCAAAAAATTTTTAAAGGACAGAAAAACACATACTTTTATATCTAGTGAAGACGGGGCTCTGCAGTCACCACTACCGCTCTGCATTAAATCTGTCTCAGTTTGGCCTGAAGTACTGGTCACCTCTGGTTCATTTTCCCTTAGAGAAATGTCTAGTTTTCCAGTTTTCAAATCTGCCACCGTTTCCTCTGTAATACAGATCTCTTCAAACTGTCCACCCCTCAAGGAGACTTCTCTTCCCGTTTCTTTAAAATCGGCCTCCATTTCCTCAATGCAAGTCATCTTTCCTGATATGTTGTCCATCAGGGAAACATCTATTTTTCCAGTTTCCTTCAAGTCAATCTCTCTTTCCACTATGGCACTGACTTCCACTGGTACCTTTTCCCTTTGGGAAATTTCTCCTGCAAGTTCTTTAAAATCTGTTTCTATTTCACCCATAGTTTTGGCTTCCTCTGAGACTACTACCAATGCAGTTATTTCTCTTCTTTCAGTTTCTTCCAAATCTTCTTCTCTTTCTTCAGTGACATCAATCATTTCTGGTATCTTCTCTCTTACTGGCATCTCTCTGCCAGTTTCTTTCAACCCTGTCCCCATTTCACCTACAGGCTTGGACTCTTCTGGGTCATTTTCCTGTGGGGATATTTCTCTTCCAGTTTCTTCCAAAGCTGAGTCTACTGCCTCAGTAGAAATCATCTCTGTTGTTTTTTCCCTTGGGGACATCTCTCTTCCAGTTGCTTTCAAACCTGTCACCATTTCCAGGGTGAAGTCAAGAGCTTCTAGAACCTTCTCCTTGGGAGAAATTTCTCTTTCTCCAGTTTCTTTGAAATTAGATTCAATTTCCTTAGTCATATTAAACTCTACTGATACTGTCTCCCTTGGTGAAGTGTCTAGTCTTACAATTTCTTCCAAAGATGTTGTCATTTCCCCAGAGGCAACAACCTTCTCTGGTAACTCTTCCTTTGAGGAAATTTCTTTTCTGACGGTTCTTCTTCCTATATTTGGCTTTGGTTTCTGAAATCGAGTTCTTAAAATTGGGACCTGGTTGCATATATTTGCTTTTTTATCCTTGTGAATGCTGTTAAAAAAAGACACATAATAAATTTTAAACCAGACTGTCAGCTAAAGAGATGATGGTTGAGAAATCACTTCAGAAATAGGAGAAACTCTCAAATTAAAAAAATAAAATAAAAATAAGAAAGCCCTATAGCGCACGCCTGTAGTTCCAGCTACTTGGAAGGCTGAGGGGGAAGGATCTCCAGAGCCCAGCAGGTTGAGGCTGCGGTGGCCGGGAGCAGCCACTGCACTCCAGTCTGGGCGACTGAGTGAGACTCCAACTCAGAAAAAAAAAAAAAAGAAAGAAAGCCCTAGAAATCTCTGTATAAATTTTTAAAATTAGATTTAAAAATTCCATCTTTTGAAACTATAGTAAAAGTTTAAAATAATTAAATATATCTACATCTGTATAGAGAGCTATCTACTCATAAGAACAATCAGCGTAGAAGCTATTTGGCCCTAATTTATCCCTTTTCAATGTATGCATCCATCATATGTAAATACTGACTGGGAAAGACTCTCCATACTCTTCAGCAGCGTTAGATCAAGGCACGTCTGCTATTTCCACCTCTTTGCCCCGACTATCTTTACCTAGACATGTGCTTTGCCATAATAGACTGGACTATCTCAAAGAGCTGGATAAAAGTATGACTTGGGTACGATTAAATCTTATGACTAAAAAGGAGGTCCGCTCTCCCCAATTTCTAAAAACACTGGAAATGAGACTTCCTGTATAGACATTTCTCTAAGAGCTTGTGATTTCATAATCTAAATTGGGAATAAAAGGATAGATTATATACAAAACTTTTTTGCTGCATACTGTTGGACATATAATCACTATCCAGAACAAGTACCTTGCTCTGCAGAAAAGGCACAACACTCTTTGCTTTGTGTTTTATGATAACAGATGGTAAAACCAATAAAAACCTATAAATAAATGAAAGAGCTCTTAAAGACCAATTAGGAAAGGGTATTAATATTCAAAAAAGCTAGATAAAATGAAACACTAGATTTATTTAGCCATATTAGGTTAAATGAGTATATAACTATAAATTTAACAGCTTTTAAAAAATATTTACTAAAAAAAAAAAAAAAAATAGGCTTGGTCGGGCAAGGTGACTCAAGCCTGTAATCCCAGCACTTTGAGAGGCCAAGGTGAGAGGACTGCCTGAGACTAGGAGTTCGAGACCAGCCTGAGTGACTTGGTGAGACCTCGTCTCTACAATAAATCAAAAAATTAGCCGGGTGTGGTGGTGCATGCCTATAGTTCCAGCTACTTGGAAGGCTGAGACAGAAGGATCACCTGAGCCCAGCATGTCAAGGTTGCAGTGGCCATGAGGGTGCCACTGCACTCCAGCCTAGGCAACTGACTAAGATTCCAACTTAAAAAAAAAATTTTTTAAAGGGCTATTGCTTGTTTAAACTTTTCTATGTCCTAATTTATCTTTCTTCACTGAAATAACTATTTTTCATAATGCAATAGATTCTTTGGAATAAGACTGCTTTTCAAATTGTACTTGTTTATATAATTGAAGTGTTTATATCTATCATTAACTTTAGTAATTGATAACATTAAATGCAAAATTAACAGCAATCAATAAATGAAAGTTAGGCAGGGAGTGGTGGCTCATGTCTATAACTGAAGCACTTTGGGAGGTCGAGGAGCTTGAAACCAGCCTGGGCAACATAATCTTTCTATCTCTGTAAAGGAAAAAAAATGTTAAATCAGCCAGGCATGGTGGCATGCATCTATAGTCCTAGCTACTCAAGAAGCTGAGGACGGGAGGATCACTTGAACCCAGGAGTTTGAGGCTACAGTAATCTATAATCATGCCACTGCACTCCAGCTTGGGTGACAGAGTGAGAAATTGTTTCTCTTTAAAAAAAATTTTTTTTAAGGCTGGCTCACATCTGTATTCCCAGCACTTTGGGAGGCTGAGGAGAAAGGATTTCTTGAGCCCAGGAGTTCAAGACAACACAGAGACTGCATCTCTACCAAAAAATTTTTAAAATAGCTGGGAGTGGTGGCACATGCCTATGGTCCCCGCTACTGGGGAGGCTGAGGCAGAAGGATAACCTGAGCCCAGGAGGTCGAGGTTGCAATGAGCCATGATCTGTGCCACTACACTCCTGCCTGGGTGACAGAGTGAGACACTAACTCAAAAAAATAAATTTTTTTTTTTTTTTTTTTTGAGTCAGGGTCTCATTCTGTCTCCCAGGCTGGAAAACAGAGTGACACAGATAAAGGAAATTTACCCAGGCTGGAGGAAATCTAGCTTGATTAGTCCTAGATGGATAGTATTACATTCTTTGATTTATGATACTTTTTTAGTTCCATCTGAAAACATCTGGTGTTTAGTGAGTTTTTATTTTATTTTTTTGAGTTGGGGGGATCTCACTCTGTCACTTAGGCTGCAGTGCAGTGGCTCTATCACAGCCCACCACAACTTGGATCTCCTGGGCTTCAGACCCACCACCTCAGTCTGAGTAGCTGAGACTTATACGTTTGTATGACCATGCCTGATTAATTTTTTTATTTTTTGTGGAGACAAGGTCTCACTATGTTGCCTAGGCTGGTCTTGAACTCCTGGGCTCAAGCAATCCTCCTGCCTCGGCCTCCCAAAGTGCTGGGATTACAGGCGAGGACCACTGCACCTGGTCTATTTTTGTCTGTTTTTTTTTTTATTTTTTGTAGAGACAAGGTCTCCCTATATTGCCCAGGCTAGTTTCAAACTCCTGGCCTCAAGCAACTCTCCTGCCTCAGCCTCCCAAAGTGCTGGGATTATAGGTGTGAGCACCCTGCGTCCATTCTTAGTGAGATTATTGTGCTGGCAATCTTGGTTTGGGTATCATGTAAACTATCTTTATAAAGTCACATTTTGAAAACTGACATATTGCTTAAATATATTATGCTTTAAACAAAGACATTATTAATAATTTCAGGGCTGGGTATGGTGGTACTTTGGGAGGTCAAGGAAAGAGGATTACTTGAAGCCAGGCGTTTGAGACCAGCCCGGGCAACATAGTGAGATCCTCATCTCTACAAAATAAAAAAATTAGCTGGATGTGGTGATATGCGTTTGTGGTCCTAGCTACTCAGGAAGTGGAGGAAAGATTGCCCTGAGCCCAGGAGTTCCAGGTAGCAGTAAGCTTTTGATTGCACTACTGCCTGAGCAACAGAGTGAGACTCTGTCTCTTAAAAAAAATAAGTAAAATATAATCATTTCATTATTTCAATCTCAGTTAAGATTATAAAACACGAATATGCAATATTACATTTGTATTCTATTTGCTTAAATTGCTTCTAAGTAACAAAAGGACTTCAATAAGCTAGAGAGAGAGAGAGAGAGAGAGAGAGAGAGAGAGACTCTCCCATTGTTGTTCAGGCTGGTCTCAAACTCCCAGGCTCAAGTAATTCTCCTACCTTGGCCTCCCTTGGCCTCCCAAAGTGCTGGTATTACAGGCGAGAACCACCACACCCAGCCTTAATAAGCTTATTTTTACAGAAAAAAATAAACATCACACCTCTCGGAATTCACCAACAGTAAGTCAACAAGCATTTCTAAGTCCCTATTACATGCCAGGAAGGCAGGTGCTGGGAAGTGGAGCTACAACAGTGAGCACGACAGACCTTCTCTCACAGAGCTCATTATCATTTTTTTTTTTTCCTTTTAAGAGTTGGAGTTTTGCTTCGTCACCCAGGCTGGAATACAATGGAAAGGCCTGGGCTCAAGAATCAATCCTCCCGCCTCAGCTTCCCAAGATCCTGGGACTACATTCACATGCTACATTGCCTGGTCAATTAAAAAAAAATTTTTTTAGAGGAGAGGTTTCACTATTTTATCCAAAACTCAAGTAATCCTCTTGCCTTGGCCTCCCAAAGTGCTAGAATTACAGGCGTGAGCCACTGTGTTTGCCCCCCATAATGAAATTTTTAAAAGTATACCAATAATTCTATCAATCTGGCTTGGTACCCTTCAAAGGGTAAATAAAAAATATAAAAAGCTTTGGCTATAAGAAGTATGGGTTTTATTTTTTATTTTTTATTTTTTTGAGATGGAGTCTCACTCTGTCACCCAGACTGGAGTGCAGTGGCCACTCCCGGCCACCGCAGCCTCGACCTGCTGGGCTCCGGCGATCCTTCCGCCTCAGCCTTCCAAGTAGCTGGAACTACAGGCGTGTGCTACCACGCCGGCTAATTTTTTGATTTTTATTGTAGAGATAAGGTCTCACCAAGTTGCCCAGGCGGGTCTCGAACCCGCAGGCTCAGGCAACTCACTCACCTCAGTCTCCCAAAGCGTGGGATTACAGGTTAAGCCACCAAGCCCGGCTAGAAGTATGGGTTTTAAATAAAATTTATAAATCTTAATAAAGGCAATTTGATCAATCTAATTGAAAAGAAACAAATATTGAAAACATAAGTAGCATTTTCACATTTGAATTCAAATATATAATTGAATACACATGTTAAGTAATAAGGCTATTCATGGTAATGCAGGTTCTATTTTCAAACCAGCTATAACTGATAAATCAACACAAAGACTATAACATAAATTTCCTTGAAAGATGAAGTTAGCGAGACCTCATCTCTACAATAAATCAAAAAATCAGCCGGGCGTGGTAGCACATGCCTGTAATTCTGGCTACTCGGAAGGCTGAGGCGGAAGAATCGCCGGAGCCCAGCAGGTCGAGGCTGCAGTGGCCGGGAGCGGCCACTGCACTCCAGTCTGGGTGACAGAGTGAGACTCCAACTCAAAAAAAAAAAAAAAAAGAAAAAGAAAGATGAAGTTATATTTTTAAATATTATACAAGTTGATACATACATAACAAATTCATCTGATTTGCTTTTTTTAAAAACTGATTAATTTTAAAACTTTATACAAAATTCAAAGATTATATACTCAATAAAATGTTGTTTACCTTAGACTTTCATTAAGAGCCTTGGGTTCATCTAGCTGCACATTTTGTAAAGCATCTTTTTTTTCATGCTGTGATGTGACATCTTCATGTTCAAAATTTTTACACGATTGATCATCCATTTGTTGGAAAGTCTTAATAACAAACAATTTTTCAATGTTTTAGGTTTCACAATGAAACAAAGTTTAAATGATTTCACTGAAAAATCTGCCCAATTGAGTATAAGGAAAATTCAAAATGATAAAACTCAAAATTTTATAATTCAGAATTATAAAACTCAAAATTTTATAATTCAAAATTATAAAACCTCAAAATTATAAAATGATATTCAAAGATGGCATTCTAATGCTTTTCTTCTTTAGATACCTTAGAAAATATCATAAGCCACATTCTTTAGCATACATCAAAGTTCCACTCTTTTTCTCCCAACCAGAAAGCAAGTAACTGCTTCTGTCTCATCTGTTAGAATTACCCCATGGGCTCAATCTTTCTGAATCCAACCATGGGAATTATAAAAGAAGAAATTCAAATCTCAAATCATACAACTGTTATCCTTATCATGAAGACTATTTAAGTATCTGTTGAATGACAGAGAAATGCAAGTCCAAATATAAGGAAGATGAAAAAGCAGATTATCTATTATGTAAATGCTCAAAATCTACAATGATTTTACATTTAGCAAGGCTGCAAGCTATGAGATTTTGACTATAAATTTAAAAACCGATACACACAACTTGTGCAGCACCGCAGTTTTAAGAAAGAAGTGAAGGGAAGCTACTTTAAGGCTGACGTACTTTTTAAACAAAAATGCAAAGAGGAGTCAGAGTACTTACATCTCTACCAACACAGGACTCACTTTCACTCTCTTCTACATTGACCTCAGCATTTTTCTCTGGTATGAGAACTTCGGTTCTTTCAGCTTCACCTCCATTCGGCTTTGGCCTTTGCAGTCGGCCCCTCATTACTCGTGCTGGCCTGAAAGGCTGTGGCCGATTGTTTTCCCGTAGACACATTTTTTCACTCAAACTAGAACAACCATAAAGGAATAAAATCCATATTCATTCTTTAGTCACAAATGTCCTTCTCCCTGGTATAAATAAGTAAACCATTTGGAACATACAATAATTCTCAAATGTCTTCAACAGACATAATTCCAGAGGCCTGACTGAAATCAAATTGTATTACAAAATTAGAAAAATCTATTATCTGACAAGCATGTGATACAACTCCTCTGAGGAAACGACTGTGTATTATATAACTCCAGGGGACCCAGCCGGGCTCAGTGGCTCAGCCTGTAGTCCCAGCACTTGGGGAGGCCGAGGTGAGTGGAGTGCCTGAGCCCGTGGGTTCGAGACCCGCCTGGGCAACTTGGCGGGACTTCATCTCTACAATAAATCAAAAATCAGCTGGGCGTGGTAGCTCATGCCTGTAATTCCGGCTACTCAGAAGGCTGAGGCAGAAGGATTGCCGGAGCCCAGCGGGTCGAGGCGGCAGTGGCCGGGAGCAGCCACTACACTCCAGTCTGGGTGACAGAGTGAGACTCCAACTCAAAAAAAAAAAAGAAATCTCTTGCCGTAAATAAAATTATCCAAAAACACATATCTTAACCATTCAGTTATTTAGCAAGACTTTCTTAAAGTCTTATTAATAAATTGAGGGAGAAATGTAATTGCTAAATCAACGATTCATACCATAATTTATGCGAACAATATCAAGCACAGAGGAAAACTGAACTTAAAGTACACTAGTGGAAAAGAAAATTCAGACCTTATCCAGTAGAAATCAAGTTATTACAATCATTCCTAATAATTACTATTTTTAGGCTCGGCGTAAAAGCTCACATCTGTAATCCCAGCACTTTGGGGGGCCAAGGCGGGTGGATTACTTAAGCGCAGGATTTTGAGACCAGCTTGGGCAACATAGCAAAACCTTGTTTCTACAAAAATTTTAAAAATTAGCTAAGCATGGTGGTGTGCATCTGTAGTCCCAGCAACTCAGGATACTGAGGTGGAAGGATCACCTGAGGCCAGGAGGTCGAGGCTGCTGTGAGCCATAATTGTTGTGACCATGCCACTGCACTCCAGCCTGGGCAACAGAGTGAGAGCGCCAACTCAAAAAAAAAAAAAAGAGTTACTATTTTATACTATTTCCTAAATACTTACTTAGATATAGTTTCAGTTTCCGGGTTCTCTAGCTCTGCATTCTCCATTCCATAAATATCTAATGTATTCGTTTTATCTTCTTCCATGTGATTCTATGAATTTAATTTTTTTTAGTTAATCTAATTACCATAAAAAGGTAACTTTGTAATAAGTGAAAATTAAAACAATGGAATTTCATTTTTTTGTACTTCTAATTAGAAGAGATTTTCTTAAAATATCAAATGGAAATGAGATTATAAAACATGAATTACTAGAAGGCCTTTTGCAAATATGAATCAAGAGTCTTTAAAATGTTCATACTGGCCAGGCACATGGCTCATACCAATAATTCCAACACTTTGGGAGACCAAGGCAAGGTGACTATTTGAGCCCAGGAGATCAAGACTAGCCTGGGCAACATGAGACCTTGTCTCTACAAAAAATAAAAAAAGAAGCCAGGTGTGATGGCACGTGTCTGTAGTCACAACTACTTGAGAGGTTGAGGTGGGAGGATCGCCTGAACCCAGGAGGTGGAGGCTGTAGTGAACCCTGATCATGCCACTGCATTCCAGTCTGGGCAAGAGAGTGAGACCCTGACTCAAAAAAAAAAAAAAAGTTCATATTCATTGATTCAGTAATATCAGTTCAAAGTCTCTATTTTAAGAAAATAATTGGAAAAAGAACTGAGTATAGTCACCAGAATATATAAAATAGCAAACTTTTAAAAATTAAAAGAATGTATAACAAGAGTCATAAAATTATTTAAAATACTCTTTGACCCAAGAATTTCCACTTCTGGAAATATTTATCCTTTGTCTGTTTCCTTAAGAAAGATTCGTTCACACCTCATCAACAGTGGCACCTGCATAACCAATGTTTGTATACCTAATCTCGAATTGTACCCCACATCTTAAAAAGAAAAAAGAAAAGCAAAAAAAAGAAAGATTTGTTGCCAGGTGCAGTGGCTCATGCCTGTAATCCCAGCACTTTGGGAGGTGGAGGCAAGAGGACTGCCTGAGCCCAGCAAGTCAAGGTTGTGGTGGCTATGACCATGCCTCTGCACTCCAGCCTGTGTGACAGAGTGAGACTGAACTTAAAAGAAAAAAAAAACGAAGACTTGTTTATAAAATGGTTTGCTTCTATCTAAAAGAGTTAAAAAAAAAAAAAAAAAAAGGAGCTGGGCACAGTGGTTCAAGCCTGTAATTCCAGCACTTTGGGAGTGGAGGCGAGAGAATTACCTGAGCTCAGGGGTTCAAACCCAGCCTGAGCAATATGGCAAGACCTCATCTCTACAACAAATCAAAAAATTAGCTGGGCGTGCTGGTGCATGCCTGTGGTTCCAGCTACCTGGAAGGTTGAGGCTGAAGGATCGCCTGAGCCCAGCAGATCGAGTCTGAAGTGGACATGAGCAGCGTACCACTGCACTCTGGCAGTGGTGACAGAGTGAGACTCTGACTCAAAAAAAAAAAAAAAAAGAAATAACATAAACATCTACCATTAAAGGAAGGATTAGGTAAATCAATCATATACTAACCTGATATAGCTACTAAAAAGATCATTTAGACACAAAAAAGTATACACGAATAGTTAAAGAGGAAAAGATTTTAAATGTTATACACATTGAAAGTGTATTATTATAAGTAAGCAAAAAACAGATTGATTACTATCAAGGATATTTGAAATGATATGTACCAAGTTACAGAAAATGTGTAAACAAGAGACTAATAAGATAAAAACAAATATACTGCTAATGTTTAAGACCTTCTATCTGTTTTAATATCAGTAACGGTATTCTGCAATCACAACCCAAACATTTTTGTTCCCAACTACTTAGAAAAATTTTTTACAATTTTAATTTTCATAGTCTCTTCTCTTACTACATACCTTTTCAACTGAAGTTTCTGAGCATGAATTCTTGCTCTCTCCATCTTCTGTTCTGCCTTGTGAAAGAACTGATTTCTTCCCAACTGCCCTTGATAAATTGGGTTTAGGTTTCCGGAATCGACCTCTCAAGATCGGTTTAATGTTTTCTGTTTGATCAGTTTCCCTAGAAAATTAACATTTTTTAAAATTGCATCGAACATACAGTCATGTCCAAATGATTTTTTTTTTTTTTTTTTAAGTTGGAGTCTCACTCTGTCGCCCAGACTGGAGTGCAGTGGCCGCTCC